TGGGTCGGAAGGCGAACTGCTCGTCTGGAATGACTTGCAGTTCTTGGAAACACAGCATCAAATGCCTTATACTTGAGTTTGGTCCATTTAAAGATTACAAAAATTTTTTAATAACCATACGCGTTGGAGGGTATGGTGGTACCCACCATTACCGCTCAAGGAGTTTCATATCACTGCCTGATCTTAGTTTGAGTAAAAACTGTCATGTAAACTCAAATTTTTTATCTAGAAAATAACTCAACGAATTCTGCAGCTGGCTCCCGGACTACAAATCATTGTGGCCAATTTCTAGCCATGGAATAATGGCGCGATTACATGTATCGAAACTTAAAAAGTATCAGTATCGAATACTTTTCTCATCGATTACTCAGTATTCGTTACTTATTCAAATAACGAATAATTACAATATTGACGTCACTAGTCTTGCTGTCGCTTCTCGTTGGACGATCTCCAGCAGGTCGTGGAGAAATCATTACACTCGGTGCAAAAATAACGCACGCGTACAGCCAGTGAAACATCTTACACGCGAAAAATTTTAACTGAATTTGTTCAGTGGAACATAAAATTGCACTTAGTGCACACCAGAGGGCCTTTCGATTTGGCAAAAATAGTAACTATTAGTAGCTAATAGCATCTTAGAGTTACTCTGAACTGATATTAGTTGCTAATAGCATCTAATAGGTATTAATTTTGTCAAAACGAAAGCCCCTCAGTTTTACCAGTGGAAAACCCTATAAAATTCAAAAATCCTAACCTAGTTCCATAGATGAAACTAAATCCTCAATAATTTTATGATAATGGATGTTTTAAAAATATTGTTATTGCAGATTTTAATATTATGTTTTATAATTATTTGCAAAGCACAAGTTAATGAATACATTTTACGGTCATAATAACAATGTTAAAATTAATTTTATTTTCAGAATATACAATTTCCTTCGAATGACCATACCAATAATTGGGCAGTGTTAGTAGACACTAGTAGATTTTGGTTTAATTATCGACATGTAGCAAATGTACTATCAATATATCGGAGTGTAAAGCGTCTAGGTATACCTGATAGCCAAATTATTTTAATGATTGCTGATGATATGGCATGTAACCCAAGAAACCCTAGACCTGCGACAGTTTTTAATAATGCTAATCAGCATATAAATGTATATGGAGATGATGTCGAGGTAGACTACAGGGGTTATGAAGTAAGTTAAATGTTTTGTATTCCCTATAGGGCTTCAACTCAAAGTATTAAAAAAAAAAACTGATCAAGTGCCAAAAATTTGAAATAAGTGACGTAAATGTGACTTCCAATATAAGGTAATTAAATACTTTTTAGTAACCTTTATTTTGCATATGTATGATATTATATTTAGTATATTAGTATATTTATTATCGTGACTAATTGATTGAACCAAATTTCACCACTTTCTATGATGAAAATTAATTACACTAGTTCAAATAAAAATCTATCTATTCATTTCAAAATGCAGGGTGTTGAATTGAAAAAGAACTTAGCAGTTTTTCAGTAACCTATATAAAGCAATTATTGTGTTCTAAATTTACATGATGAAACTATCATCAGGTGTAGTTTTAGTTGACTGGAATATCCAGTTGCATGCAAATGTCATTACATTGATCCTTTTTTGAAATAAATGATATGCCATTGACTAATATAAAAAAGATGTCATATTTAGATCCTACACATGTTTCCGAAAAAAAAATTTAATTTATTTCATATTCATATATAAAATACATAATTTTCAAGAAAAAGGAATTTTCAATCGATGCTCACCAAAAAATAATAGACAAAAACTTTTTCTTTTTTTTTAAATTAAAAACCCAAGTAGTGGTAACGGTCCCAGAGGCTTTATTAAGTTTCTTGTCCATTTAATCGTTTTTCTATATAATTTCTGTAATTCCAATAGATACATCATCAAAATGGCCCACTCGGTATAAAAACGATTTAAAGATAATATTCTACATTTAAATAGACATCGTACTTAAACACAGTTTTAACCTTAACTTTATGTACCTTCTAAAGCTTTAAAAAAGACCTAAAAGTTACTATTTGACTATTTCTTTTTTAAAAAAGTGACTAGTAATTGTTTTTTTAAAAAAGTGACAAAAGCCCTGATATATATCTAATAGAAAAACACAGCAACCCAAAGTTTAATAATCAATAATTTTAGAAATTGGATAGTGATTAACTAGTTCTCTGATTCTCATAACTACTTAATAAATTTTTATAAAACATCTTCAGCTGTTCAACATCTTCAACATATTTTTATTATATTTTATAATATTAATTTGTTATAATTATATTTAAAATTTAAGGTTACAGTGGAAAATTTTGTAAGACTACTTACTGGAAGACTTCCACCAGGTACCCCGAGATCTAAACAGCTCTTAACAGATGAAGGGAGCAATGTTCTGGTTTATTTAACTGGCCATGGTGGTGATGGATTTTTAAAATTCCAAGACTCTGAAGAAATAACTAGTCAGGAAATGGCTGATGCTTTAGAACAGATGTGGCAAAAGCAGAGGTTGTCCTTATTTGTTTATTTGCTCTCACATTTAGCCACTAAAAAAATATTTTTCAAAGAAACATATTTGGGTTTCTTTAAGAAATACGTAACCCGTTAAATATTTTGTGTTATTTTAATATAACTAATAAACAGAACTTTTATAAAATCATCCTCTACATTATATATAAATTTTAGGTATCATGAAACTTTTTTTATGATTGATACCTGTCAAGCAGCTTCCATGTATGAACGTTTTTATTCACCAAATATATTAGCTGTTGGCAGTAGTTTAGTTGGAGAGGATTCTCTTTCGGTATGTTTGATGTACATAAAAAAATTTTGATTTTAAATTATTACCTTTTTAGCATCATGTAGATCCTGCTATTGGAGTTTATATCATAGATAGATACACCTATTATGCCTTAGATTTTTTAGAAAATGTCGATCCTCAAACTAATAAAACAATGGGAGAATTTGTAAGTATTACAATCATTACCAGTTGTATAAATAATATATCAATAAGTTTCCTGTTTACTTTTAGCTACAAGTTTGTCCCAAAAGTGTGTGTATATCGACAGTAGGAGTGCGAAGAGATTTATTTATGAGGAATCCAGATAAGGTGCCCATAACGGATTTTTTTGGATCAGTAAGACCTGTTAATCTTCTTACCAAAATTAAAATACAGCCAATGATATCTAGTCAATTAGAAACTAACACAACTGATAAATCTAAACCAAAGAAATATAGATACATTCCACCACTTATAAATTTTAATACAGTTGTATATTAATTTGTTAATAATTAAAATATAATGACATTAATAATAAATGTAAATGAAAAATTTATAAATGTATTTTTTTAATATCAATGAGGTACATACAGTGTAGGAAAGTACCGATGATCTATCAGAAGTTACGTGAGAGCGATAAAGTAAGCCATAGAAATCCATGTGATAGACAAGGATGGCTATAATGAAGGCGTCTAATAGTCAACGCCCGCGTGGGCGGGTGCGTGCGTGCGTGCGTGCGTGTGTGAGTGTGTGTGTGTGTGTGAAAATAGTAATAAACATATATAAACTTGAAGTATGTGTAGTCAGTAGTGTTGCAGTCGGTGTTCCAGGAACACGCACATAGAGTGTCCTGATTTCGAAATTTCAAACCAAAATGGGTACAATAAAACGGAATCCAAAAGAGAGTACAAAAGTGTGTTATTTATATAAAATAGTAAACATTTTTTGAAATTTAAAATTGATACATCTTCACAAAAATTCATATAAAAATACACATTATGTACAAATATACATAAAAATAATAACGAGTTATCTACCTTAACTAACACATATATAAATAATAATAAAAATAAATCATATCAATCATATTAACCTAAGTGTTTCGTGATTCACCAGATTCAATTTGATTTTCTAATAGGTATATGTTAGATATCAAGTCTTATTTTATTAAATATACAATGCAAACCTAGTCAACACACTGAAGCAGTGCCTGTTTTAGATATAAATTGTACCTAGGTATTATTTTTCAAATAAAATAGCTGATCCAGTTTGTGATCCAAACACAAGTAGGTATTAAGTGTCGTTTCTTTATTTGAACATGATCACGTAAAAATCATGTTTGACCTTTCGCCGTATGTAGAAGATGTGGTATCATACATAGCGGGCTTTGTATCTTCACAGGTTATAAAAATAATTTCTTGTGACATTTACAAAAAATATATAAAGGCATGAAACACGAAGTCTCATGCATTAGCAAAATGTGGAATTTGTAGCTACTGATTGGACACGTAAAAATTTGCTTTAGCCAATTTCATCAATACATTACCCTTAATTAATAAAAATCCTCAATCAATAAAACCTTAAGTATCCATATATGGTGTAAAGATATACATTTTTACTTATAAACAAATTTTGTCTTCTTTTTTATTTTTTGCTAGATTCATCGCTTCATGCCAGTTTGTTCCTCTTTTCTTTAAGGGCCGGTACTTTCAGTCTAGATTAAATACACCGTTAACTAATCGATCTATAAATTAATCCCAGTAAACTAACTCAAGTTTAAAGGATATTGGGTACTTTACGGTTTTTTCAAACACTAGGTTAGGTAAACTGGGTTTGAATTAGGATAGTAGGAAAGACGTACGTCGTACACAAATTTTAAATTTTATGTTATGATGCANTGTGTGTGTGTGTGTGTGTGTGTGTGTGTGTGTGTGTGTGTGTGTGTGTGTGTGTGTGTGTGTGTGTGTGTGTGTGTGTGTGTGTGTGTGTGTGTGTGTGTGTGTGTGTGTGTGTGTGTGTGTGTGTGTGTGTGTGTGTGTGTGTGTGTGTGTGTGTGTGTGTGTGTGTGTGTGTGTGTGTGTGTGTGTGTGTGTGTGTGTGTGTGTGTGTGTGTGTGTGTGTGTGTGTGTGTGTGTGTGTGTGTGTGTGTGTGTGTGTGTGTGTGTGTGTGTGTGTGTGTGTGTGTGTGTGTGTGTGTGTGTGTGTGTGTGTGTGTGTGTGTGTGTGTGTGTGTGTGTGTGTGTGTGTGTGTGTGTGTGTGTGTGTGTGTGTGTGTGTGTGTGTGTGTGTGTGTGTGTGTGTGTGTGTGTGTGTGTGTGTGTGTGTGTGTGTGTGTGTGTGTGTGTGTGTGTGTGTGTGTGTGTGTGTGTGTGTGTGTGTGTGTGTGTGTGTGTGTGTGTGTGTGTGTGTGTGTGTGTGTGTGTGTGTGTGTGTGTGTGTGTGTGTGTGTGTGTGTGTGTGTGTGTGTGTGTGTGTGTGTGTGTGTGTGTGTGTGTGTGTGTGTGTGTGTGTGTGTGTGTGTGTGTGTGTGTGTGTGTGTGTGTGTGTGTGTGTGTGTGTGTGTGTGTGTGTGTGTGTGTGTGTGTGTGTGTGTGTGTGTGTGTGTGTGTGTGTGTGTGTGTGTGTGTGTGTGTGTGTGTGTGTGTGTGTGTGTGTGTGTGTGTGTGTGTGTGTGTGTGTGTGTGTGTGTGTGTGTGTGTGTGTGTGTGTGTGTGTGTGTGTGTGTGTGTGTGTGTGTGTGTGTGTGTGAAAATAGCAATAAACATATACAAACTAATATATATAAACTTGAAGCATGTGTAGTCAGTAGTGTTGCAGTCGGTGTTCCAGGAACACGCACATAGAGTGTCCTGATTTCGAAATTTATTACTTCGTAACTGTGTGAATACCTTTCAGTACCTTCGAGAAGTACTTTTGAGAATAATCTAGTGAGCAAAAATGCCGGATAAATGTGGTCATGATCAAAATAGAGAAAAAGTTTGCGTGCCATGTGGTCGAAATTGTTATACAATTGTAGTTCCTTCCATTTTCGAGTCCACTCGTTGATGAGGATCTGACGTTGGTCTTAGCTAAAACTATATCTTCGATGCTCGATGGAAATCGTGGATCTAACAAAGTAAACTCCGGTTGGAGGAACTTCTTTATCAGATTTTCTGAGTTTGGAGTTATACGATACCTTTTCAATTGATACATAGGAACGTTTATTTTTCGACCACATGGCGCACAAACTTTTTCTCGATTTTGATCATAACCATTATTTATCACTAGATTATTCTCAAAAGTACTTCTCGAAGGTACTGAAAGGTATTCACACTTATGAAGTAATAAATCAGGACATTGTAGGTGCGTGTTCCTGGAACACCGATTGCAAGACTACTGACTTGTTTACACATGCTTCAAGTTTATATACATTGGTTTGTATATGTTTATTGCTATTTTCATGCACACACACACGCACGCACGCACACACACACACACAAACACACACACAAACACACAAACACACACACACAAACACACACACAGAGACACACACACACACACAGACACACACACACAAAATTTTGGCTGTTTTTTGTATCATTGAAATTCTATTTTTCCATATTCTTGTGATGGTTTATGTTGTGCTCTAAATGTATTTCCATATTTCAAACACCCACACGCAGACACGGACAAATACACACACAAACACATACGCACATACACATCTTATGGGCCTTTCTACTCCCTTCATTTTGAAAATTTTCGATGGTGGAAAACTCGAGTAGGCGATCAGCTGGGATTTCACTCTTCACGGATTTTTCATTGTTAAGAGTCCAGGAAACGAACCCTCTGACCAGATTTTTGCGTTATCGGGGACAAACTTTTTTCGCCTTCAAGACCACCGTGCATAAGGTTTTTCGAAGAAAATTGTGGTACGCCACTGGTAAAAACATTTTTTTAATATTTTTTTATGATCTACTTTTTATTTTGAACAAAATTACCCTCTAGCTCTTGTAATTTTTCCGTATATAAAACTTTTGTAAATACCATTTTTTCCCACTGCTAACAGAGGAATATAAAAATAACAAAAGCATTATGAAGTACGCTTTGACTCAACCACCGAACATGGTCAAATAGGCATTGAAAAAAGATTTTTGCATTGAAAATGATATTAAAAAACTAAATTTCTTGAAATTTTTTAGCACACTGTAACTTGGAAAAGAAAACCCGTAGAGCAGAATTTTATATGACAAATATTTATTTTTTAAAATAAAAAATCCACTGTTTAATTTATTCCCAACCTTTATGTTACACCCTGTATAAGCAATTATGCTAAAAACTCCTTATATAATTTTTTCGATTTTAAAAATATTTGTTTCAACCGCGCCATTATTCCATGGCTAGAAAATGGCCTCAATGATTTGGAATCGAGGGGGATTATCCCTCTTTATCCTGCCTCATCTCGTGTAGGCCTGGACAGCTTTCAACGCCCCATCCGTCGTCTACCCTGACCGCAAATGCGGCCGGTGTAGGCACTTTGTGGGACCTCCTTTTGTCCTGGCTGGGCCCCGTCAGCTAGGACTCTTCCTTCTGGCACTCTTCTTGCTTCGCCGGCTCGTCTGTGTAAACCCTGGGGGTGGTGTTCCAAGCATACACCACTTGTGACGTATTAGACTAAGGATGTTATTATTACAGAAAACTTAATAAAAGGACAGTGGTATGAGATTTTAGTTGAACATCCGATTAATAGAAAGTGCAATTAAGTAAGACATGGTTTAGCATGTCGCAGCTAAATAATGGTTTCATATAATAAATAAAATCTGAAAAGGTAGCAAACACCTATGATCCTATTATAAAACATTATCACCAAAGAGAGTAGAACATTATCTGGTTTCAACTGCACATGTAAACTTTGTAATGATTGAATTATATATTTTCTGGTAGGATTTAGAAACTTAGAATAAATGCCATAATGATATATTAATTATGCCTCAGTTATAGATCAGACAACTGTCTATTTTGACTCAGTGAGAATGCAAGTGGTCTTTTTACCATGGTATAATTTTGTATTATTTCACCGTTTTTAACTGCTTCATAGTAGACAAAATTTTCTTAGAAATTTCTATAAATTGAATATTAATTCCATCATTAGATTCACATATTTTAGAAGTGTTTCTTGTGATTAATATCAAAATGATGGATAACAGCTTTCACTGATACAAAAAAAACAAATCTGGGTATTTTTGATTTAAAAGTATATGGAAACTGTAGATAATACCTACTCCTAGAGATAATTTTTACATATAATGCAATTATGCAATTATTCCTCACTACTTTTGCCTATAAAGGCAATAATAATCAAAATTTGTTGCATTCGAAAATGTTTTTTAGTTCTGGTAATTTTTATATTATTTTTAATTTTGTTATTGCGGCCTCACTGCAACAGTAATGTATATACATATTATTTACACTTATTTTTAATTTATATAAAAAAAATTATCAATCCATTGTCGCAATAACATGGTAGAAATAGTTTATTTTTAATATATTTCAAATATAATCAATTATAACGTCTGCGCGAATTTTTGTTGGAAAGTGCTCGTTTTTTTGTTGCCACAATTTTCATGACGTCATGGTACAAAACGATAATAAGCAGGTTATTAATGTGCTTAATCAAAAAAAATATACCTTATGTATGTATATAGACACGAGAGAGTGCGTATCCCTGCAGTTTTACTGCGATCCATGTGCATTTAGAGAAACTGCTGACAAATTCAAGACATCCAGAAGAACCCTTTAACAAGAAGATAAACTACAATAGCGTTAATTAAGCCATCTCTAAATATCGTTATTCTATAGTTTTATCGTATTCATACAGTCCACTTCTTTGAATAACCATAGCGTTTATAGCACCTTGTACATCTATCAATTCTAAGTACGGTCCTGACTTGCATGGATTAGAAGGGACTAAGTAGAACATGTCTTTTTCATTTGCTTCTACTATGATCATAGATAAGACTATGATCGAATAAACAATTGTATTCAGTCATATTTATCTGTAATAAGTAAAGTAGATATTTTAGGTATTACTGCAATTCAAGTCTGAAATGGAATGAATGAAAAATAATACAGAAATTTATATTCACATTGATTATTGACTAAATGAGAAAACACTGTTTTATTTGCGCAACTAAACCTATACAAATTTGTACTAATTAAATTTATCTGTCCAAATATATTTTTTTTTGTAGTTTTGTAATCTGAGTTTACTTACCTTACACCGTGTAGATTGTAGAATATATTTCCTATATTTAATGATACAGAATGTAGATATAATTTGAGGCATTTACAAAATGTTTTCTACAATATATATTTTTTACGTACCTATATATGTATACATATTTTATGTATTACTTAATAGTTCATAGATTAAATTGTTATCAAGGATTTTGTTGTAAAAACAAGTAAACGTATCTACTATGCACTTGGAATTATCCAAACGTGTGTATCAGTGCCGATGCTTGTGTAGAAATTCTCGTCAGAAATGAGTAGTGAAAGACTAGTTATTTTTTTTGGAAACATCGTACATTGTTCAGAACAATTCAAAATACATATTATTGAAAATGGATTTGTGATGGTTTTAGAAAATAAGGTAATATTAATTTTATAATTTGACTCTAAAGATAGATTTAACTTGTTTGTTTTTATTATCAGAAATCACAGGCAACCAGCAATACTGCTGTAAATTTATACAGAGCAGTATTCTTGTTTAGATACTGTTTATTTGTTTAGAAATTGTTTCGATAAAATACATATTTTTCTCTATCACTCTCAGAGAGAGGAATAGATTAATATTTTCAACATTGGAATTAATTTATTACAGAAATATTAAAATCATAATCATTCTGTTGGTGTGTTAGAAAAACACTTTTTCTTTTAGATTAGAAATAATATATTTACATACATTTTCTACACATTGATCACAATTGAAACTGATTTGAAGTTTAAAAAAATTGGAATACAAAAATATACCTACTTCGCAAGTCATGTGATGCTGATAACGTGATGTGACATTTACATTTTGTCTGCCTTTATGTTATAGATTATGGAAGTAAATGAAGAATCTGCCTTTGAAGAAGCAAAAGCCAGACTAAATATTACAAAACACAACAATATAGAGGAAATAAGACTGAAGAAGTCCCAAATACTCATACCAGGTTTAATTGATACCCACATTCATGCACCTCAATACCCAAATAGCGGTTTGGGTTATGATAAACTGTTACTTGAATGGTTGGATACTTACACTTACAAACTGGAGAAAAAATATAAAGATCAGGACTTTTCTAAAAAAGTATTTGACGCTGTCGTGGTAAAATAAATTTTAAATACTAATTAAATTTTGTACCACATAATAATTATAATGAAATATTGCAGAGAAAAACGCTAGATCATGGCACAACAACAGCTTGTTATTTTGCATCATTATATTCAAACAGTAGTCTTTTACTAGTCGACTCTGTCATTACACATGGTCAAAGAGCACTTGTTGGGAAAATTAATATGACCACATTAGCACCTGAGGATTACATCGAAACCCCTTCTGAATCTATCATAAATACAAAGAATTTTATTAAGGATGTTACATCCAAAAAGGTAAGAAACCTTTTTCAAAAACATTTTAAAATTATTTCTTAGAATTGCAAAATGATACTAACTCTATTGGCTTTAAGGTTACAAATCTGAAAACTCTGTGAAATTTAACGATTATAATGGTTAGTGCAGAAAGAGGCGATATTGTTAAGTAATATTTTCAGTTTAGAAAATCTATTAATGACAAGAATCTGTTAATCCCATATTATAATAACTACTATCATTAGTAAAAATTTGTCATTAGATTCATAAATAGAAAAATAGTAACTTCTTTTGTAAAAATGCGCGCTTGTGTTTAATTTTACTTTAGGGGAATTACTTTATTTATTACCTGGGCAACTTTGTGGAAACATGCGATATTGGGATTATTGTAGGTAATATTGTAATCACGTTTACAAATGTAAAAATTTGTAATTAATTTGGAAAAGTTATTTTATGTTATATTTTATGTTACATGTATATTATATTATACAGGGTGTTTCAGTATTAAGTCGACAAATTTTGATGTGTTCCTCTGGTCAAAATAAGTAAAAAAAAGTATATAAACATAGGTACGGAAACGCTTTGTTTTCGAGATAGTGTTAAAAAAATAATATTTTTTAATATCTTGAGAGTAGAAATATTTAAGTAAAGTTTGGTGTGATTTTTTATTAAATAGTTTGACACAATATGTCTCAGTAATAAGTATTATTAGCTATCAGTGATGGAGATATGGGTAGGCAATTCAGTTATTTCGGCAAATAAAGTAGTACAAGCTTTTGGGGCCCTATGTTTGTATACCTTTTTTGTACTTATTTTGACCAGAAGAACACATGTTCAAAATTTGTCGGCTTAATCCTAAAACACCCTGTATGTTTTCTTAACTAATTTTCATAATATTAACAATAATTTTTTTTACAATATTTAAACATAACATTTTCCAGAATGACTTGGTTCAACCCATTATAACTCCAAGATTTGCTCTGAGTGTAGATATGAATTTAATGAAAGAACTAGGAAGTATCGCTAAAGAACAGGAGGTGCCCATTCAGGCAGGTTTTTTAGATATTTTACATACCATACTTACAATTTGATATGATAATAAACATATTTTTATTGTACTATATTTTAGACACATATTTCTGAAAATGTTGATGAGATAAAGATGGTAAAAGAGAAATATAACATGTCATATGCAGAAACTTACGATAAAGCTGATCTATTAACAACAAAGGTAAATCACTTTGAATATGAACATTATTTTATTCTAATGTGTCGAATGCTATGAGTAAATAATCCTTTTAAAAAATATAAAAAACTGTATGCATGAGATATAATATAAATAAGTTTACAAAATACAGGGTGCGGCAAAAAGGTAGGCAGGATTTCAAATAGTGGTTGCTCGGTTTGTAAAACCGGTAACACTGTGCAGTCGTGTGCACGTGATCGCGTTGGATAGACAAAAGTATGCAATTTTCAGTTATCGACTTGGAGCGGAGTGCATCGTGCTTTCGTTGTTGAGGAGTTTATTAGAAATAGGGAATCTGTAATAGCGACGCAGCGTGCCTTCTGTAATCAGTTTGATGTTGGTCGGCATGGCACGGTTCCGGATGGAAGAACAATTTGTCGGTGGGTTTTACACTTCAGGGAAACAGGTTCTGCGCTTAAACGAAAATCTACTGGCCGACCAAGGACAGTAAGAACACCGGAAAATGTGAATGCAGTAAGAGATTCCGTACAACAGTCTCCAAGGCGTTCAGCTCGTAAGCATGCAGCTGCTTTGGGAATTTCCGATAGAAGTGTTCGAAGAATTTTACACAACTCACTCCAAATGCATCCGTACAAAATGATGGTAGTGCAGGAATTAAGTGAAAGAGATTTTGAAACCCGTACAAATTCATGCCGGGATATTCTTCAAAACATTCCCCGAGGCGCTGTATTCATGTCTAGCGATGAAGCTCACTTTCACCTATCGGGTAGCGTAAATAAGCAAAATTTCCGTTATTGGTCGACAAATAATCCACAGGAACTTCATGAGCGACCACTTCACAGTCCAAAGGTTACCGTCTGGTGTGCAATATCTGAGTTTGGCGTGTGGGGCCCTTACTTTTTCGAAGAATAAGGAATAAGTCAAGTCAACGGAGATCGATATTTTGATATGCTTAACAATTTCCTGCGTCCAAAAGTTAACGAGTTGAATGAAAATCACCGAGAACATCTTTGGTTCCAGCAGGATGGTGCTACATCGCACACCACGCGTCATTCACTTAATCTTCTTCAAGAAATGTTCCCAAACAAAGTGGTGTCTTTACGGGGTGATCTCGGCTGGCCGCCGCGTTCGCCTGATTTGTCGCCTTGTGACTTTTTTCTTTGGAGTTACTTCAAATTGAGAGTTTTTACACATCGTCCGCAGACATAGGAAGAATTAAAGGGAGCCATAAGACAAGAAATTGCCGCAATTCCCCGAGAAATGATCCATCGGGTAATGACGCGCTTCCGTGAGAACCTACAAGAGTGCATCGACAATAATGGCCGTCATTTAAAAGATATCATTTTTAAAAAATAACGTTCCTAAATGGTATGAAATGTAGATTTAAAAAATAAAATAAAAAATGTTTGCTTTATGTGGTTTGGTTTTTATTGACATCCCAAATAGTACCTATCATTTTGCCGCACCCTGTATATCAACTTAAATAGTCACTGCTAGTTAATGTTTAGGCCTTCGATATAGTCAAACTGGCAGTTTTCTCGCCTAAGGTATAGTAATGAGGACTAATAAGTTCAGAAACACAGAGTGTCTACTAAATTTTTATTTTCGGATTCAAGGAGTTTTCAAGGTGTTCAAGGGTTGATTTTAATTCATTTTCAAGGAGGTACATTTTTCTAGGGTAAACACTTTTCTCTTTGTAAAAGCTAATCGACGTTAATTTACTCGAAATTTTTCATTTTCTTTACTCAAAATATAGTTATTAACTTGAAGATGAAGGTGCGCTCCGCGTTCACGACAGATAAAAAAATTAAACATCTATCTGACCATCTCTCTGATTCTCTTTAAAAATTTAAACTCGAACGCATACGAGCGATTATTAAGTATCGCATTAAGATAGAATAAGATTGTAAAACTTTATAATTCTAAAGATAAAATATATGACTGAAAAATTGACAATTTAAACGTGATGATATGGGATATTTAAGTAAAATTGATCATCATAATTTTTACACTTACAACATACATTGAAATTATATTATATTGAAGGAATTTAATTATATTTATTAAACAAAAATAACAATACAATATCTGAAATAAAAATTTTATTACAATAATCGTTACAAAATTATATTAAATTGGTTTTGAGAACTATAAAAATTAAACAAAATTAAAATATTTAAGTAATTTCTAAAATATGAATCATTTTTTTAATTGTTTATCTAACTCTTTAATTTTTTGGTCATATTGTACTACATTTTTCTGATTTTCACTTATTATCATTTCTAATTCTTTTTTTCTCAATTTTAAATCTGCTGCTTCTTCAACCAATTTTCTTTTTTTTTTTTTTCTTCACTTTCATTTTCTCTTTTGTCTTGTAAAGCTTGTTTTCGATTTGCAGAAGAGGATTTAAAAGCAGCAATCATTGGTTTAGTTATTTTAATATTTTTTACATCACCGTTATTATTAACAATAATAAAATCATGTACAGATCTTTGAGATATAAGACTTTGTTCTTGTAGATTCTCAACTAGGAATTCTTTGTTGAAAGAAAAACTGCGTTCTACAGCAGCATTTCCATGAAAAAATACTTAATATTCATTTTACAAATTCGACAAAATGCGCAGATATTTTTTGCTCAGCACAGTTTCATAAAAAATTCATCTAGCTGGTTTTTTCTCATCAAACTTTAATAATTCTTTTTTTACAGCGTCATTTTCTATAAAGGTAATCCTTTTCAATTTCTTCAGCAATAAGTTCACCAAAGTGGTTATACTCGACTAAAACTTCTAAAGCCAGTTGAATCTGAATTTTAGCAATTATTTTCGGATTCAACATAACATAAGGAGAACAAAAATTAAATTCATTAAAAATTGTAATTAAATAAAATGATTGTGAAACAATTTTTCAAGGATCATTAGGTCGATTCGAGGAGATTTCAAGTATTTCAAGTAGATTAAATCCATTCAAGGAGTTTTCAAAGTTTTCAAGGGATTCAAGGAGCAGTAGACACTCTGAAACCAGTGTATGTCTGATGGTTCTACTAAAGAATGATTTAGCTGTTTACTAGATATTGCATGCATTCAATGTTGGTGAAGGCATTAATTGGCACAGTAACTCTTTCCTACAATATTATTACTTGAAGAAGCTGTATTAGATTTTTTCCTTAGACCATTCTTGCCCATGGAGTGTATCTATCTGACGATGAACTCAAATTACTAGCAAATAGAGGTACCTCCATCGCGCACTGCCCAGAATCTAACACGTGCCTAAAATCGGGGCTATGTGATGTACGAAGACTGCAAGCAGCTGGTGTCAAAGTAGGTCTTGGAACAGGTAAGCAAATTTTGCTCATTTAGAGTACATTATATATCTTATTAAATCATATCATACCAAGAAAATTATAGTGGACATACTTCGATAATGAAGAATAGGATCCATATGCCATGTTTTAGGGGATGATTAGAGGCCCACATAGAGAACGTCGTGACAAAAAATTTTTTATAGAAGAAATTGGTGAAATAATCATTGAAATTAGGAGTGGCTGATTATGAGGTCTCAAAAATATTTGTCATAATCAACTGATAGATATAGTGAGGTGTTTTATACAAAAATTAACATTTTATGAAAAATAAGAAAATACCTGTTTATATTTATCAGTTGATCATGGAAAAAATACTTTGTAATTATAGGTGCAACCCTTAACAAAATCTCAGGGTCAGCCATACCCCATACCTATTTTAATTTGAAGAAAAAATAAAAAATTAAAATAGGGGTTGCTGACTAGTATCTTGCAAAAAGCTGCATATACACTGTGTTCACGGATTGAGTACACGTGGGGTATAACTGACAAAAATTTTTCGAGTTGAAATTTGAGCTTCTGGGTATCATCTCTGCTTGGCCTTAAACTAAGAAGTTGGAAAAAATTTGTCCAATTAATTAATGTAATAAATAAGCATAGTTGTTGTTCTGATAACAAAATACAAAGAAATGCATTCCGAATGAAATACAGACTTGCAATAAAAAATGCAAAGAGAGAAGCCAATGACAGATTGATAAAAAGACACAGTAACCCAAAAAAATGTATGTGGGACCTGATAAATAAACAAAGAAATACAACGAAACACACGGTAAATGTTACAATACATCCTGATAAATTCAACGAACACTTTGCAAATGTAGCTAAAAAAATATTACATGAACATAATTTATCGCCTGTAAATACTANAGTGCAATAGGTTAGATTTAACCGTTATGCTGAGATGGGTGGTGCCCCGCAGGATCTCCAAAGCTCGAGCGTGGGACACGTGCTCGAAGCTTTGTCCGTTCACTTCCAGGATCTGATCGCCCCTCTTCAATCCCACGTCTTCCGCTTTGGACTTTTTGTCCACTTTAGAGATGAATATACCAAAGTTTCTCTCGAAACCGCCAAGAATTTGGAAATTCAGAGGCTCCTCTCGGTTCGGTCTAGCTAACACTACGTTTCGTATCCGAGCTTTGGCGGCACAGGCTATGTTCAAGAGTCTTAACTGACCGCCCATGTTCTCCTTCTCAAGACCCTGTTCGAATGTCTCCAGGAACTCTATCATGTCTGGGTCCGTTTCGAAGTCCGTGAAGTGGTTGTTAACCCACAGGAGGACCACCCTCGTCACTCTATCACGAACTTCGGGGTCTTTAAACCAATCTAGAAGCTGGTTGGCCACATGCAGTGGACTGTGAATGAACACGCGATGCGTCAATAAAAAGTCTTCCACGTATGTGGGGTCTGTGAGGGAGTTTTCTTCAATAAGCTGAAGCATGAGTCGTTCGGGAGTTGCGCGGATCACCACGTGACCCCTCCGGTTGCTGCTAGGCTCCATGGAACCCCTGAGTTCTGTCACCATCACCAGTTTGCCTTCAACCTCGTGCCTCCGAGTATTTTCTTCACCTTGGTGTAATATCCTGAGGAAAAAACGGATGTTTGTAAATTACGAATTTAGTTTCTGATTTTATTAACGCACCTGTAATAATCCGATTGTGTTATGCACACGAACTGGCAGTCATCACATTTGGTTATCATAATACCTTTGTGGTAAAGTTTGTCCATTGTCGGGAGTATGCCAAAGGCGTCTCCCATCGTGAGGGTCTGATTTTCTTCGCCGGGTATGACCACTTCTACACAGCCATTGACCAGGACCGACCAGGAGTCTAATTCTTCTCCATCATTCATAACTATGGTGCCGGCCTTTTCTACCACGGCAAAGACCATCACAGAACATAGAGCTCTTCTTACGGCTAGAGTCATGTTGGTAAAAGCCTTTAAATGCTGAGTGAACTCCAACAGTGCCTCAATGTCATCTTCCGTACGCTCCGTGGGTTCCTTCTCAAGGCAGTCCCTGACACGATCCCTCACCGTCAAACTCTGCAAATTTTGAAATCAGCCGATGCAACGGTTAAAAAGTTGCAGTGATACGACTTACATCCATGCTCTCTACCAGGTCGTCCTCCTCGTCGCTGTCAACTATGCTCTCGACAAGCCCAGTGAGGTCGAGCTCGTCGCCGTCGAGTTCCGAGTGGGTGGAGGCCATGGTGTCGGAGCCGCTGTATGCGGAGCTGGTGTCCGAAGAGTGAGAACCCCTGCTGCACTTGTGGTATAGGCTCTGACGTGGAATGTTTTGACCATACTAAGAAACAAAAATATTTAATTGACTAGTTATAGTCTAGATTGGAAAATATCACTTATCCAAGTTTTGACTAAGACACTGGTCAAAATTGGATATAACAGGTTAAAATTAATAATCATGTAATTTACCGATTACAAAAGTATTAATCTAAAATTTATTGATACTGTCTCACTCGAGGTTTAATTAATAAAACTTAATAGTTATCTCCCTAAATCGGACAATTATTTTTAAATTTGTTTTTTTAACCACGTAACCAAAATGGGAATTTAAAACTTGGAAGCTTCCATTTCAACGAGTTTCTTATAAATATATGAGTTGTTTAATATGGCATTTTGGATATTTCTATGCTTTTCAGGAAACTTTATACTTTCTCAAATGTTTTGTTTGTTATTTTTCATTGAATACATTTTTCGATTTGCAAAAAATACGTCAATACCTGTCGCGCGAAGAAGTGTGAGTAGGCGGTTTATTATTATTATTATTATTAATGTACGATGAATTTTCAAAAATTGTCAAGAGTAAAGTAAAAATATCAAAAATATTTACTTAGATAAGTTGTTGGGAATTAAAAGTTATGACAGATTGTCAATTTTCAATTTGATCGGCCAACTTTGATTTTTTCTTGTTTTTTTTTTTAATCTCCTTGGATTGAAAGTAATGGTAAGCTGTTATTTGTTTATGTCAATCCCATATGTCATATTGGTGTGGTATCTCTTACGATGGTATTATAGGCCCTTATTTTTTTGAGCAAAATATGAACCAGTATAGCTACTTGGAAATATTAAACAGTTTTCTCTTTGATTGGTTGAATAATATGCCTATGAACGATAGACAGGCTTGCTTCCAACAAGACGGAAACCCGTGCATTAAACGTGAATCGTTCGAGAATGGCTAGATGGTCAATTTCCTGGGTGGTGGATTGAGCAAAATGGGCCCAATTTCTTGGCCTCCTAGAAGCCCTGATTTAACTGTAAAGGACTTTTATTTATGGAGCTGTCTCAAGCAGAAAGTCTATGAAAAAATAAGAGATACAATTAATGCCATCCCAATTCAAGAAATCCAAAATGCCTACACAGAATTTACCAAGCACGCTAAGCGATGTGTAATAGTTGGTGGCAGCACATTGGAATAACTTTTATATTATTTGTTTATTTATGTTTATTATATTAGTAATGTTTTCTTCTCTAATAAATAATTAGGAATTTGTACTTTGTGGTTATAAAAAGTAAAAAAAAGTTGGCTGATCAAATTGAAAATTGATAATCTGTCATAACTTTTAGTTTTCAACAACATTCATAAGAAAATATTTTTGATATTTTTAAAAACAAAGGTACTTTACTCTTGACAATTTTTGAAAATTCATTGTAAAAACACCCTGTATACTAAATAATTGAACTATTTTTTTTTTACGTTTTAGTTTAAGACCAAGCAGAGATGATGCCGAGCTCAAATTTCAACTCAAAAAAATTTTTTCATTTACACCTCACGTGTACTCAATCGGAGGACACACTATATATATATATATATATTTCTATTTTTTTTTCCACAATCGATATATAAAGAAAGCAGGTATTTTTTATTTTCACAAAATGTTAATTTTTTTTAAAGTTACAGGATATTATGAAGTTTAATCAACACAATGTTAGTATAATTAAAACTTAAGTATAACTATATCAAACAAAATAAAAAACGTAACAAATTATGTGCAATCTTAGGGTCGGCAACCCATTATTTACATTTTCTATTTTATTCACAGTTTTTCATCACGAAATATCTCTATGTGAGTCTAGAAATCATCCCCTAAATAAATGGTATGGATTTCACACTTCATTATCAAAAAATGTGTTCTTTAGTTTTCACCAACCGCCACTGTTTTAACGTGTCTCATTCAAATATAGAAATATAGTTTCGACTCGCTACCATTAATTAATCATATAATTATTAAAAAAACGATCCTGAAATAGAATGTACTAAAAAGAGAAAGGAATACTGGAACTATATTTGTATGTTAAAGTCTTTATATCTTTTAAAAAACCTTAAAGTATATGATTTTTATTGCATAATAAAATATTTAAGAAAACATACTTATTTAGTTTCATAATTTAATTTATTTTTTCAAATAGCAATACTTGTGCAGTCTGTTTTACAGTAGATATTAAATATTTTCCCACTTGCTGATACAAAAAATGAATATATTTTATGAATAGATACAAATCAAATAAAGGTAAATGTCTTGATATTAATTTTAGATGTATCTGGAGGTCCTTCTGCATCCATCATACAAGCTATGAAAGCAGCATTGGATGTATCAATCCATATTTTTTTCCAAAAGGAAAATTATACACCTCTCAATTTTGAAGATGTCTTTTACTTGGCTACGTTAGGAGGAGCAGAAGGTATAGTAACAATCCTTTATTTCAGGGATAACTTTTATATTGCTAACAATTTTTTTAATTTTTACATAAAATATATGCAATGTTAGTTGTAAATGGCAATTAAAAGTTTATTTAAATTTTATTATTTTCAGCATTAGCACTTGAAAATAAAATTGGTAATTTCGAAGTAGGTAAAGACTTTGATGCCTTAATAATAGACATGGATGTAGAAAATTCTTCATCTGATTACTTACTAGAGTGCAGTCCCTCGGAAATTTTACAGAAATTCATCTATCTTGGTGATGACAGAAATGTTACGAATGTATTTGTAGCTGGTAGACGCGTTAAGTAATTTTCTAGATAACTGAATATTGTAAAAGGTATTTGTTAAATAAAATGTTAAAATAAGTCTTATTTCTACGAATTTCCACAATTTCTATTTTATTTACGGTACACCGTGTGAATTATTTCAGTTTCACAAAAATGAAATTTACAAATATACTTCAGAGTGCTTCAGAGTCGGAGATCGACCGGTGTCCCCCAGGGCACCGTCCTGTCCCCACACCTATACACCATTTACAACTCCGACATCCCACATCCACCCAACACCAACATATACTTATACGCCGACGACCTGACAATCACATCCCAATCCGTAGATCCTAGATATTCCGTCTCCCTCCTCCAAAACTCCTTAGACCAACTTGAAACCTGGTGCAACAGGTGGAAAGTCAAAATTAATCCCAACAAAAGTTCGGCTATCCTTTTTACCAAACGAAAAATCCCACAAAACCTCGACAGACTGACACTATCCCAGGAACCTATCTCCTGGAATCGACAAACACGATACCTGGGCGTGACGATGGACCAGCGTCTCACGTGGAAACCGCACATCGTGGAGACGGTGGCGCGAGCGAAGACCACCAGGGCTAGGCTCTATCCCTTACTCAAAGGTGGAAACACCCTCAGTTTAAGGAATAAGCGAACGCTTATCAAGGTGGTACTTCAACCGCAGCTAACCTACGCCTCCACGGCGTGGGGTCACGCGGCAAAAAGCCACTTAAAGTCATTACAGGCTGTGGAAAACATAGCCCTCCGCACGGCCACCGACGCGCCCTGGTACGTAAGAAACACTGACATATTACGAGACTTACAATACACAAACGCTACACAGACAATAAGACAAAACGCGGAGAAACGATTTGACGTAGCCGCTAGACATGACAATCCCCTCCTCAGGCAA